GCAACCTCTCACCTAGTAGGGCCCACCGAACAATTATGGCGTCACACTTTATGCACTTGGAGATAATCTGCTACCTCCTATAGAAAGGGACTTGAACTCCCTCACTATTCATCTTCTCTGTTCGCTCTACATTGTCATTTTTCTACATAACGCTAATCATAATACTAACCATAGCCCTTACACACTCCTCCCTTACCACCCTCAGCTCATTCGGAGATATCTTGGTGCTTTAATCCATACCTCTGCCTCTTTCATCTCCCTCATATCATTGAATTTGAATCGATGAATGAATTTATTAGATTACTTGTCTTTTGTCAGCTGGCAACAAATACAAGGTTCATGATAAACCGCGTTATTGTTATGAGGATACATGCAATTTATAAAATAAAAAAAAGACAATTGGTCTTCTCATCCACGTGTCGTTTATTAGTATATTTGTAGAATAACAAGAGATGAAAGGAACATTGAATGAATCTGTATATTGAATTGATACATGAGTGTACAATATATAAAAACACTAATGGGCTTAGCCCATACCTAACCCAAATTCTAATAAAATAAGAAAATATATTTTCCAAATAATAAAGATATTATTTTCCCTTACAAAAAAAGATATTATTTCCAATATTCCCCCTCAAGCTGGAGCATATAAATCATAAGCATCACAACATTATTGGTTTGTAATGGAGCCTGAGCAACATGTGCAGTTCGAGGAGGCTGAGGTGACTTGCCATGGAGCTTCCAACAGCAGTCAACAATATGATTGGTCTGATAACAATGAGTGCAAAGTAACTGACCCCTTAGAGGGTTTACATCCATGGCCAGTCAGAGACTTAGAAACAGAAGAGACAGGAGAATCCATAATCACCAAAAAAAGGAGACCAAAAGAAAATCAGAGACGTCAGATCACAAAACTAACCGAAAAGAGTGGGATCCGTGCGTCACCAAAAAAAACGATGTTGAAGAACCAAAACAGAACCAGATCCAGAACCGTCTCAGAGAGGGGAGAAAAACCCAACCAGTCTCCGCCAGAAAGGAGTTGTCACGCGACGCCACGCACCAGCAAACGAAAGACAGCGCGCGAAACTTTGACATGCGTGTAAGGGAGCGTAAGAGACTTTCTGGAGACGAGACCTCGACATACGGCATCGCACGATCGAGACAAGCACAACGGTAGGTGGCTAGCTGAAAAAAGCTACCGGACGGTGGTGGTCAATGGTGGAGGAGCAACGATCAAGGTTTATCGACGGTGGTTCGCGAAGAAAAATGGTTAGACAACGATGCACAGATTAGGGTTGGCAAAAATGAACAACCCGTCGGGTTGGCTTATAACCCGTCAAAAAAGAGTCGGGTTGGGTTGGCAAAAATGAGCTGCCAACCTGACCCGAGCCTGCTCGGAAAAAAATGAGCCAACCAGCAGGTCAAACGGGCCAGCTCGCAGGTTGAGTTTTTTTTTAAATACAAAATATAATATAAAAAAAATGGACAAAACTCTCACACGCTGTCATTGCTTTCTTCCTTCTCTAAACCTAAGTTCCTAATCTTCTCACATCACTGTCATTTTTGTTTGGTCTTTCACTCAGAAGTGAGATGCATCCGCCAGCCACCACTGTCTGCGCTCCGTCAGCCCTTGGCTTCATCGCCTTAGTTGCTCAGTCTTGGCCTCAGTTCCTGCATTGAAAGCTTCTTGTACTCTCGATTTTTCGCAACACCCACATAGTTGATTGAAGCCACATAGCGGGTGCATTAATATTACAGGTTCATTTAAATAGGCTGAAAATGAGTCAACTCGCGAGCCAATTTTCGAGCCAACCCGCCAGCCATTTTTTCAAGCCAACCCGCGAGCCAACCCAAACTAGGCTCGGGTTAGGTTGGGTTTGGTTTTCTGACTCATTTTTTTTAGCCAACCCTAACCCATATCATTTTTTCGGGTTGCACGCGGGTTTGGCCGAGTTGGCCCATTTTACAAACCCTAGCACAAATGATCCAAAAACAAAAGAGATCTCCGAAAATTGACAAGGAAATAGTATTCAGAAAAATTGAAAAAGACGATGAACAGTGGATTCACAAAAAAAAAATGGATCAGGATTTCTCTCGATAAGTTCCAATACCATGTAGAATAACAAGAGATGAAAGGAACATTGAATGAATCCATATATTGAATTGGTATATAAGTGTACAATATATAGAAACACTAATGGGCTTAGCCCAGACCAAACTCAAATCCTAATAAAATAAGAAAATAGATATTCACAAATAATAAAAATATTCTTTCCAATAATAATAAAAATATTCTTTCCAACAATATTATTATAGAATACATGATTTGGTTCTTTAAAACTATCAATACCTTGTAATATAATTCTATTATCTATTGACTTGGTCTTGTCTGATTATTCAACGATGACTACGTGATGATGAATCTATCTATCTATTTATAATCCTTAAATCCTGAGGTGGGAGCTGTGGCTTTTGGCAATAGCAAAAATGATAAAATGAATGCATAATTTTAACTATTGGGGCAATTGTTGCTTGGTTCTTGGTGAACAGATATATTGATATGCATATATCCCTTGTACTTATTATCCGAATTTAGAAATATTTTGCCCTCGTTAGCTTGCTAATCATCAAGAAAAATGGGATATTTTTCTACAACTTATCCAGGATGAATATGCCAGCTAGTGATGGAGCGGATATTCCTAAAATGTGCGTGCCGGCTTTGGAGTTGGGAGATTACTGATTAGTCAAGAAAGTCTTGTGCGTTGACTTTTTGGCCCAAGCTTATCTATTTAGATGTTACTTGCATTCACATTCATTGCAGCTATGCAAAATGATAGGTTTGTATTAGTCTGCAGCTATACCTATCCTATGGAGAAAAGAGAAACCATAACGTACACTTGTAGATGATGTTAGTATTGATGGTATGCAAAAATAAGACTCATTCTTTGGAAAAATGGAATAAATGATAAAGACATGCTTGTCGGGCCTATCCATTTCCATATTAGATGCACGCACAATTAAAACTTGAACAGAAATCCAAAATGCATTACAGATGGTAAAATAGTTTAAACCTGTTGGCTCAACTTACCTAATCTACTCAATTTAGTATATTAAGTTACATATTTAAATCTGTCACAATCTGCCTATTAAAGTAGGTCGAACACGGGTCAAGGCGAATTGACCCGATGGTTAAATTTTTTTTAAACCTAATTGAGTAATTTGAATAAAATATCTTACTTTTTTCTAAATCCTAATTAACTCAATCATAGTATGTAATTCATCCCTAATATATATCTCATTTTGAATGAGAATACTACCCATTATTATGCGACGAGAGCACTAAAATGCTCTTGTACTACAAACATTGCATAGTTGTACCTATGCTATAGCTCTTCAAGGATAGCTATGATATAGAGGATAAAAAATTCTTATGCAAGTATAGTGTGCAAGAGCTTAGAACTTGTGAGCTTAAAGGAGGAGATGCGTGTACACACATGGAGAGAAGAGACAATTTAGATAAGTTTCGAGAAATATAAATATCTCAATGATGGAAGTGAGGCTATTTGAGAGAAGCGTAAGAGAAACTGGAGTGGTTCGGGTGAAAGTTAGTTGAGTTGGGCTAAGTTTTGTCCTGAAAGGCCCAAGTTTACGTCAAAAAATTTCAATTTGGCCTGACCCAAGCCTAGTACGAGTCTAACTGTTAGCTTGACTTGACCCGTTTATAAAAAACAAATGACCTAGCTTAGCTCGTTAATTTTTAACTTCCAATCAGAACCATAAATCAACTTTACAAAATACTCAAATTCTATTGCTAAATCGAAAATCATAATTTTAACGTCCAAACAGAATCATGAATCAGAACAAAACTCATACAATCTGATTATCAAAAATAACATATATTTCATCAGATCCAACAAATAAATTCATACTATGTAAATTAAAATAACTACATGAATTCAACAAACGCATCATGATGCTTATAGTAAGTATAACTTCTCCCCAAAACTTTTTAATATATTCATATACACAATCTAACATGCTGAGATATTGGTTCCTCCTACATAAGAAATAAAGTCAGATTTCTATTAAAATATAATCGAATATAATTAAGTTATAAATAATTGCAATTGAATAAATTTATATCTTTTGCTTTTCTTTAAGACATACTTATTCTATTTTATTTTATTTATAATAAATAGTACAATATAGACAAGCCTATAGGTTTATAAGTCAGGCCTTGTGAAAATGGGTCTACGACCTTTTTATTAAACAAGCTTTTTCAAGGTCCAAGCCCAACCTATTTTCCGAAATATACTAGATCAGATCTAACTTGAAGTAGGCCGAAGCGTAGATTTTTGTAGGCTGGCCCCACCTAGTTTCACCTTATTTCCAATGCTTATGAGAGTAACGAATTCTACCAAGTCATTAAGTACTTATGGTTTTGTCAACTGTCATGCCTATGTGGGACCTGCATGATGTTTGGGCCCGGTGCTCTCGCAAGAATGTGAAATACATGTGTGACAAAACTGGGAACTAGACACATATTGGGCCTAAAATTGTTCCCGACGACCTGTTCGAGAATATAAAGCATTTGAGTATTTCAATGTACTTAAAAAAACAAAGATTATTAAAAAATTGACATATAAGAACTAAGAATAGCCCAAATTCATAAAATGATATGAACAGGAAAATGATTTTGGAAATTCTTCTTCTCATTCACTGTGGTGTTTAAACCCAGCACTGTCGAGAGATTAATCAAAAATCATTATTATTTAGAGCATAAGCAACGTATCTGGTCTCCTTATCCATCCTTAACTGCGATTTTTATAAAATTAGTAGTTTGTCTTGTACAAATGTGAAGCTATTAGAACAAATTAATAGTCCCAAAGATGTATTTGCTTGGTATACAAGCATAAACATAATAACTTCATTTCTTATGAGTAATTTTGTCTATACATACACACATTTTTTATCAACTGCTTATACACACTTCTATATGTCATTGGATAATAACTTAATGGACTAAACTTGTGCTTGGTAATCAAATACTTATATAACTATCATTATTCTTGCATACAGAAAGTGTCTCCTTGGTTTATGTATTTTCTCTACCAAAATATATACAATCATACATCTATACATATGGGAAAGTTTAATTGCAGCTCGAAAATATATTTTTCAAACTATAATTCTTAATATAAATTGTTTTCCCCCTTTGAACTTTAACATGCCAAAACAATAAGTGTTTTGGGTTTCAGAAATGTCTGGATTGCAACATACAAAAGCAAAGGAATTCCATTCCAAAGTGATCATTCCCATTTGCACCTAACATGATGAGTGTGCCTGAACTCATAAGTAAGCACCAAACTTCCATCCATTCTCTTTAATAAAAAACTCTCTACCATCAAATAACAGCTAAATTTCTCCCACTTGTTTGTTCCGCCAAACTCCTCTACTCTTACAACCCTCTCTTGCCTTTCATTACTGGCAATCCATCCAACTCTTTCTTGCTCCCATTTCATTCTCTCAACAATTTCTAAACTCAGTCCAACACTAGTCTCTGCTCCCGCATCATCAAAACTCTTAAACCACAGCACACTATCAACCCCAACATTTTCGTCCCAAACAGCATCCTTTCCAGCAACCTTGGCAGCTTCTCTTTGAATGACAACATCTACAAGCACACTATTTTCTCCACTGTTTCCATTTTCCTTTGAAAATATCTTTTCCCATCTTTGCTCAAGTGTCAACACATAGAACACTGACATTTTCATCTGCTCCTTTAATCTCATTCCTTCCTTCACAAACATAAAAGGGCAATACCACTTTCCTACAACCACTGAATTAGAACGATCATTGGATAGAGAAAAGTTGAAATCAGGTAGCTGAATACGTAAGACGTCATTTGATCCTAAAGCTTCTTCCAAATGATAATTGCGGGGAGTGTTAGCACCAACTCTCCAGCCTTTTCTCCTCAAAAACATAGGAACAACGCCATCTGGGGCAACGGATTTTGCTTGAAAATAGCGATGCTTCTTGATTATCTCAACCTGCTGATAATCACTGGAGGGATCCAGAGGTCCTGGTTTAACATCTTGTATAAAACTGCAGCACAAACAAGTGTCCATATCCTCTTCCTTTGAACTTGTGCTTGCTTGGCTGAAATCAAATCATACTGATGTTTGAGCTACCAAGATTAATTCATCAGTATTCAGTAATTATATGTATAAAGCCTCAAAAGCTGAAAAGAATATGAAAATCACCCTAGACTCAACATCAAATTCTCTTTATCCCATACTAGTTGAGGTGTGTTGATGAATCATACAAAATCTAACAGATTAAACATAAGTAAATAATAAATAAAGAAGTTAAATATATATAACAGATTGAATCACCCTAGACTCCACCCATTTTTTATCATTCATTTTTTGCATCTAATTGTTCATATATTTAATAAAATATAGCTGTTAGATATAAATAGAATCAACAACTAAAATTAAGAATATAACTTGCATTGGTGTAAAATAATATGTGTATACGGTCTAAAAATTAAGAGGATAAAGGTTGATATAAATAACTGATTCATACCCTTGATGTTTCCCCTGCCTTCTTATCACGTAGTAGCGGTTTGAAGACAAGGGCTGATTCAATACTGGAATGAACAAGACCTTGTCCCGATGAATATTTTGGTTGTCACGTGAATATTTGATGGTTAAGTTCTTGTCCTGAGGGAAAGGAAGATGCCTGATATTTGGATCCTCACACAAACCGAAACAAATATAATGTTGAGGCTCATCCCAGACTACAAGATAACCTGAATTTGGTTCTAATGGACGTTGTGAAAGAGCAGCAGGTTCCCTCTTGTACATAGATATAGGTCTTGTCGTGTACATTTTATCTGAGATTATGATGTATCAGATGTGTTTATTTAATTTCTTAGCAATCAATGTTTGTTTCTAATGAATATATAGTGAAGTTTACCGAAGAAAAGAAAAAATACTTTGTGCCTCTCATCCCTGTAATTGTTGAAAATTGAATATATGATTGAATTTTCAAAATCTTCAGCCGGCGAAGTATTTTTCTACAAACAGGACGCAATTTCTAGGAAATATCTAGAAATATCCTATGCATCTTTCAGAAATAAAATGTTAAAATGGATTGATTGGTCAAGTTTGCCACATGGTGTGCATACAGGGCAAATTGATGGTGTTTTTTTTTTATTGTTTTGCCACGTGTAGCATTTGTGTAACAAATGACCGCTGTTGAACTCGTCATTTCTGACAGCGGACCCTTAATGCGCGACGTGTGGCTAGTCCCGTTAATAGTCAAAGCAAGTCCTCAAACGTGATATTTCAACATTTTTTTTCTTAACAGTGACAAATTCTTGTCCTTATCTTTACAATAAAATTTCAGAGCAACGGATATACTGAAGTTGAGTGCATTTTTAATTTGTTTTTAATAGATATATATAGATAAATTCTGTATAAATTTCTTGACCACCAAAATTTACCTACATATCTTAATAAAAATGAATTAGAAATACATTAAACTCAACATCAGTAGCATAATACATTTTTCCCTAGTGCTAAACTGCTCGCTTGTTATGATTTCCCAGGAAAGTCCTGTTCTGACTTTTCTGGTCACTTCTTGAATTAACCTTCAAAAGATAGCGTATATATATATATATATATATATATATGTATATATATATATATATATATATATAGGACAAGATCTTCTTATACCGGTGTAAGAATAGTAAATTTTACACTCAATCTTAACCGTTGATTTTCGATATCTGACGCTTATAATTTATTAAGAATTAATAATTAATTAATGAGAATTATCCAATTAATTATAGTCGTTTGATGAACAGAAAAATCAACGATTAAGATTGAGTGTAAAATTTATTATTCTTACATCGGTGTAAATCGATCTTTTATATATATACATATATATATAGAGAGAGAGAGGTAGGATCCTTTGACACTAATGTCAAATTTAAAACTTGACACCTCATCTGAGAGCCGTTAGATCAAAAAAGACCAATGGTATCACATGCTTACAAATCAAAGTCGTTGATCTTTTTTATTTAACGGCTCTTATATGAGGTGTCAAATTTTAAATTTGACATTGGTGTCAAAGGATCCGGCCTCATATATATATATATATATATATATATATATATATATATATATATGAGATTGCAATTTCTCATGTTGCATGAGAAATGCAAGTTTTCCTACAGAGAGAGAAAGGGGTGGGACCCACCTTAAAGAAAAAAATAAAAAATAGAAAAGTGATTGGCACGGACATCGAAGTGAGAGTGGTAGGAGAGGAGATTTCTCATGCAACATGAGAAATCTTTTTCATATATATATATATATATATATATATATATATATATATATATATATATATATATATATATACTTTCTGACATTTATCGGCCTATTCCTAGTATGGTCAGCACTTAATTGAGATCTCCCGCAGGGAAAATGCAAAGATAGAACCTGATTATTACGTGCTTGAACAAACTTAAACAACATTATCCAAGGTTACACTATTAATCTAGACGATGCAGAGATTAATATATATGAAAGTATAAATAAAATAAAAAAACCATAACAAGAAGAGGAAAGTATATGAATGATATGCTAATATTAGTTGGTAGCAATATTATGACGACATCTCTACATCACTTTTTTTTTATTATTAGATTAAACTCGTTATTGACATCAATTATGTTTTTTTTATTTTTATTTCACTGAACAAGAGTGTTATTCTAAAAAGTGAAAGTAAATATTTCTTTACATTAGGATAGATAAGACTAAGGTTTTGATTGTGAGTATGTCGTTCTAATTCATGGGAGAATAGTTGGGTCAAAGAGTGATTTGAAATTGAAATTTGAACATAATTATAGAATTATAACTATCTTTGAACATTTTATCTATGGGTCTTCTTTCAGTTAACATTTCTAAGATCATAATTCCAATTTATGCATATCACATTTAACTAACATCTCAAAAGTCATTCCATACTCTGAAATGTAATGCAAATCAGTAAGTTATCATCAAAATATTAACCAAAAAGGAAATAAAAGGTGCTAAAACAAGAGCTAAAACTTGAAATTAAAAGCTTCATAACTTGCCCAAGCAATATAATTTTATACTTGGAGGAACATGACCAGCAGTCAATTTTATTCCAATTGTGCTACTTTGCTTGAGATGAACTCCAACACTTAATAGCAATCTTGCTAAGTCAATCATTCCACTACACATATTCTAAAATATCTTCACAACTTCCTATATATAATACACCAGGATGTTACTAGATGCCCATTGCAAGACACGCACAGGAGAATTAAATAGCGCAATTCGTGCATGCCCTCGTATGCGACTTGAACGCACATACCCTCATATGCATCTCACAATGTTGGCCACGTGATAGATACTAATTTGTCCCGTACTCAAATGCGCACTCATCCCTTACATGACTTCTCACTAAGGGTGAAAGTGGGCTGGGCTGGGCCAAGCTTTGCCCCGAAAAGCCCAAGCCTACGTCAAAAAATTTCAATTTAGCCTGGCCCAAGCCTAGTATGAGTCTAACTGTTAGCCTGGCTTGGTCCGTTTATAAAAAAACAAGTGGCCTGACTTGGCCCGTTAGCCTATTATTTTTTAGCTTCCAAGCAGAACCATGGATCAACTTTACAAAGTACTCAAATTCTGTTGCTACACCAAAAATCATAATTTCAACATTCAAACAGAATCATAAATCATGACAAAACGCATACAATATGCATTTAAGTCATTTTCAAAAGCAAAATGCTCAAACTAAATAACATATATTTCATTAGATCCAACAAATAAATGCATACTATGTAAATTAAAATAACTACACGAATCCAACAAACACATCATGATGCTTGTAGTAAGTATAACCTCTCCACACAAAAAATTAATATATTCATATACACAATCTAACATGTTGAGATGTTGGTTCCTCCTATATAAGAAATAAAGTAAGATTTCTATTAAAATATAATCGAATATAATTAAGTTATAAATAATTGCAATTGATTAAATTTATATCTTTTATTTTTTCTTAAGGCATACTTACTCTATTTTATTTTATTTAAAATAAATAGTACAATATAGGCTGGCCTGTAGGCTTATAGGCCCGGCCTTTTGAAAGTGAGCCTACGGCCTTTTTATTAAATAGAATTTTTTATGGCCCAAACTCGGCCTATTATACAAAATATACTAGATCAGGTCTGGCCTGATATAGGCCGAGCCGTAGGACCCTGTAGGCCGGCCCGATCCAGTTTCAATCCTACTTCCCACTCATCCCATACTCAAACACAAACCACTTCCTAAGTATCTCACAATAGAATAGGTAATTGTTAAAAAAATATAAAATCATTATTGACTTAGACTTTAGAGAACCATTGGGGTAACCCCACCTTCAAATCATCGTACTAGCAAATTCTAAGGCTCATGGCCTATTGCAGTTAAGTTTTCGTATCATGGCCTAAATACATTAAGTTTTTCAACCCATGGCCCATTACATTTGAGGTTTTAGGATCATAGCCCAATACATTTATTTTTTAACCCCGTTATCAAGTATATTGAGTTTTCGCTTCATAACCCACGACATCTAATTTGCAAGCTCTTGGCCCAACATATTGAGATTTTAGGCTCAAAACCCAATGCAAAATCTCAACAGTTTATCCTCATAATCTTTATGCAAAATTGAAATGATTACACTGTAAAACTGAATGAATGAACGAACTTTCTTCTTAATCAACAAGATCACACAAAATTGGATATCTAGATTACAAGACTAGGCATTCTTTTCTTTGTCATAGACATAGAGCATATACAACTTGAAAACATAAGGTCTAAACCAATACCAGAAATTTTCATTCCCATTTGCTTCTAAGTTGATGATGGTGTTTAAAAGCATAGGTTAGTACTACGCTTCCATCCAATCTTTTAAGTACGAAAGTTTCAACCAAAACATAACATCCAAATTTCTTCCATCCATTAGTCCCTACAAATTCTTCCACTTTCTTAACTCCAATTTGCTTTTCTTTCCCTTCAATCCACCCAACTCTTTCCTGTTCCCACTTCATTCTCTCAATTATTGCAGTGCTCAATCCCACACTATTCTTTTCTCCAACATTACTGAAACTATTAAACCACAAAAGACCTTCAGCTACATCAATCTCATTGATCACAGCTTCCCAGCCACCAATTACAACCACTTCCTTCTTAACAACAGCATCCACATTCACAGTGTTTCCCATCCCATGCTCATTCTCACATGAAAAGATTTGTTCCCATTTCTGCTCCAGTGTCATCTCATAAAACATTGATTTTCTCATTTCTTCTTTCAATGTTTTGTGAGTTCCTTCCTTTATAAACATGAAGGGGCAATACCATTTTCCAACAACAACAACAGTTTCTGAACTTTTATCTGCTAAGGAGACTTTGAATCCTGGCTGGCTGGCACGGAGGGCATCATTTACACCTGATGCTTCTCCTAGACTTGAATCACTAGAAGTTGAAGCACTCACTTTCCACCTTGTACTCAAAAATCTTGGAGGATATCCATCTGGGGAAACAGATTTAGCTGAAAAACCACTCCTGAAAGTAACTTTGCTTCTTCGGGGATATATCTCAAACTCTTGAAGTGTGTTGCTGATATCTAGAGGATGTAGTGGTTCATCAGAGACAGAATTGTAGAAACAGAAGGCCTCCAAATCTTCCTCCTTTGAGTTGATGTATGCTTCCCTGCAAAACCAAATGCAAATCGCATCACTATAATCCTTAAACATGCCAACAAGATTATTCATTTATGTGTATAATCTTGACATGAGCCTGCTATAAATTTTGTGGTGAAAACTATGGTTTCTTGGGACATTTGAGTCAACCTCATCCCATATTATAACTAATATTTGGGTCAGTCAGTGCAGAATAAATGATATACAGAACCAAGTAATGAAAATCCATTATTTTTTTCATAAAGTTAAGGCTTACCCTCTTTGCTTCCCATTAAGCTGAATCACATAGTACTTATGAGAAGACAACGGCTGATTAAGGACTGGAATCAAGGCAACATGGTGGTAATGAGTGGCTCTATTCAGTGAAATTCCTGATCTATAGAACAACTCAAGGTTCATATTTTGAGGGAAAGGCAAATCCTTCACCTCATGGTACTTTCCCAACCCAAAACAAGAGGTTGGTTCCAAATCCTCATCTTGGATTACCAGAATACCAGAATTGGGGCCTTCAGGTTGAGGCAATGAGAGAGATTCTGCAGACTTCTTACACAGAGAGAGAGGCCTAGTCACATACATTCTATTATTCTAATTTTGCTTTACTTCAGAATTCTTCACTCACCAATATTCCTTTCTTTCTAGCTGTGGATCTTGGTGGCTGCACATGCACTTATATATATGAGATGAAATTTTAGTATATGATATGGTCAACCATGACCAATTTAACCAAACGTGCATAAATGCTCAAGATTGACCAAGTTAGTGAAGAAAAAAGAAAAATTCAAGCAAGCCATTACAGTCATTTGTGGGGACTGTGAATTGCCTCGCTAGCCAATGGGATTGTGTATTTGGAAGAGTCCATTTTGGTAAGGCTAGCTGGCTTTGGCTTTGTGTGTATGGAAAGTTTGAGCCATAAAGGATGAGAAGGAAGATTTGGAGATTGTAGTGGACTGCTGAGATGTAAAGTTAAAGAGATTTGACCCGGCATACAAATAAAACAAAATATGTTAGGTATGTTTTGTAGGTTGAAGTTGTTCAACATTTCAACAATTCGTGACGGGGTCTTCTAAATCTTAATCAACTTTTTTTTTTCCTAATGTTTAATAAATTAGGCCCTATTTTGTTCCATTCTGAACGATGGTTGCTTGTATACAGGATATACGATGCACCAGTAATTTAAAAAACTTGCATGTTGTGTTTGATATTTTTTGACAGCTTTATACTTCTCGACATTTTAACACATGTTGAATAGATTTAAAAAAGAGATAAATAAGAATCATGTTGTATATACAAAATTAGTGTCATGCAATTACTTAAGACAAAGTAAAGTTATTGAAGAGTGTGCCTTTTCAACTTTTATTATTATTATTTAACTTGTCTTTTTTTTGTAGGAAAAAAAAATATAATCATGTTGCATGATGAATCTAAAGCCCTTTAAAAAATGATTAAAAAATTGCATTACATTGCATTTTTGTTTCTATCTATTAGATTAGTTGGATTACGATTACTAGGGGTGTAAATGGGCTGGGCTGGGCTTTGGCCTTCCTGGCCCAAGCCTACGTAAAAAGAAATTCAGCCTATCTGGCCTATCAAAAGCTTTATTTGTAGGCCAAACCCAGTCTACTTTTAAAAATAAGAAAGCCCGACATGGCTTACAGGCCTTGTAGGCCTACCACTGTAGATACTAAGCAAAGAAAATAATTGTATAGAGCAAAGAAAGTTTCATTCATGAACCAAATGGTGGTAGCTCAGTTGGCGCATGAGAACTGAGCAGGTGGGGGTGAGGGCATGGGTTCGAACCTCCCCAGTACCACCTTTGGGAGGGGTTTAAAGCCTTAAACCTGGACCCGCCCTGAATCGGACTAATCGCGAAGCGATGAACCGAAGGAATATTTTCAAAAAAGTTTAATTCATGAATGCACTAGTACTTCTCATAAGAAAAAAATAACAAACCAGAAAGAGTCAACATAATACTCCAGCTTTAGAATGTATATCATAGAGGAATAGAGTCAAAGAAATGGAGAAAATAAGAAAAATACAATTATTGGGTACTGAAATAAAGTCTACAAGAAAATGTCATTCATTTAAAAATTAGGGTTGGTATTGGTACTTTGCCATGCCACATAAAATAAATATTATTTTATTTTTAATAAATTAAATAGGCCAACCTACAAGGCTTTGGGCCAGACTTGACAAAATTGGTCTATGGCCTATTTGTTAAAAAAGCTTTCTTAAAAGCCTAAGCCTACTCTACTTTTTCTGAAAGGTCGGGCTAAGTCAGGCTTAATGTAGGCTGGGCTGGACCAGCCTGACCCATTTACACCCCTAACGATTACCATTTTATCGAGTTTAATATAAATATTTATGATATCATATATTTCTTTGCAAAATTGATGGGTATTATAAGTTTAACTTCATTTTTTGTTAAATTATTGAATATTAGATATAATATATACTAGATAAATTAAAAATATGATTTATTATCAAAACATGTCCTAATGTGTCAAAATCTAACATTTTTGAGAATTAACGTGTCAAAGTATCGTGTCTGTCGTGTCCCATGTATTGAGTCGGTGTCGATGTCGGTGCAACATAAGATAAGATAACAGTTTTGTTTGGTTTAATTAAGTATTTAATTGTTTAATTTTTGAGTTTCCTCAAGATATCATCCAGATGATAGTCGAAGACTTCCAGTTGACAATCAAAGACTAATCTTTTCGAGACGTAAAAATCATCGAAGTAGGTTTTGTCTCTATCAACAAAGCTTTTTCCATATATATGGCCAGAGATCGAATCCATGTCAGCATGTTTAAGGGATCCAGTCATCTACCTACTGTGTCGAACTTTGTTGATATTTAATTGTTTAATTTATGTATACCATTCAAAGTAATCTTACTTTAATTCGTTTTGGTTAAATTTTGATTGAAGTACAGATTCAGATGTGCACTACGATAAATATAAAAATTGTACAATAAGGTATTGAGAATTATAAAATAAAAAAAACAATAATTTAGCTATTACATTTCACAAGTTGTGTACTCGTAATGGTTCTATTCTATTGTACAAAAAAAAAAATATTAGTAAAGTTGCAGCCCAGAGATGGACTAATCAAAAGGGAGTGTCCCCCTATCTCAGTTTCCTGGTCCTTTCTTTCAATAATGCAGATCAGCAACGTTTAAAGTCGTTGCCACAGTACTGGATCTTGTTTGTTATGTCTTAAATAAATTCAACCTATATCTATATCAAATTTATTGTGATAGCAACAGGTCAAGTGTCAAATTTGGCAACCACTTTTGTTGTAGAATTTGCAATCATATGTCTATTGCCCAATTACATAATTTTCTATATTGAAAAATTTGTAATTCCGGCGCTTTATCTTTTGCTAAGGACTATTATGTTTGTAAGAGGCACTTTCCTTCTTCTTTCCTGACGTTTGATAGATAGAAACATTTGGCAAGGAACTTTCCAAGAAGTATGAAGTTCCCTCTATTAAGCATTTACTGAAAAAAAACATTAGTACACAAAATGAAAGATAATGGCTAATGATCAACTAAAGACAATTTAAACCACAAACTAAGACTAGCCTAGTGAAACTACACAGAAAGATGTATCAGGTTTTGAACATAAGGTCTTGCTCTCTTTTCCTTGAGCTTCCCCAGTTTGAATGATGTCTGAAAATCCATCTCCAACCCTTCATGCTTTTCCTTCCCCTTTTAATTCCTCTATCATTCACAGTGATCCTACATGAACCTCCACTTGGTAAAACTCCATCCCCTCCCAAACCCCCATAAGAACATCCACCATCATGTGCCATGAAATTCCCACCTCTTGTGCTGCCAAAAGCTGAGAGGGTATCAGCCAGGTTACTCATCTTTGCAGCAGAGAACTCTTGCTTTGATTCTGATGAATAATCAAGCTTCAAGTCAATGAAACTGGACTCATCCATGCCTTTGAAATCACTCTCTCGGAGTGAAAAGACACGCCTATTTACCCCATAGAAACCCCCATCAACATCCATTAGGCTACCCTTCTTCACACCCTTGTGATCATTACAATTTTCAGACTCAAATTGGAACTCTCTCCTCTCCCCATCAAAACCACTCCTTCTTGGTTCTGCTTCACTGTATCCACTTCTCCTCCCAGATTCTAACATCAAACCCCCATTAACACCAGAACTCCTAGCTGCAGAAATAGAGCTTCTAGCACCTGATAGCAGAGAATCTCCACCATCCTCAGATCCAAATAACCCCCCACCTCTGAAGCTGCAGAGAGACCTGGACCTGGAGACACCCCCATGATCAAGCATCCACATCTCACTTTTCTCATCAAAACCAACAACGCTCCTTCCACAGTCCTTCTCCTTCTTCTTCCTAAACAACTTCCCAATTCTCCAAAACCCGTTTCTTTTGATCTCAACACAGTTGCTGCTGCTTCTCCTCAACACCATAACCTCCTCCTCTTTATCTTGCACTTTGGCCTTAGAATTCAAATGCTGAACTGGGGTCTCATTCTTCTCATTCTCAATAAGAAATGAGACTCTACCAACGCTTCCCACCTCAACAGTGCATGAATTCCGATGGGAAGAGATCTCATCAGAGCAAGAACAAGAAGAAAGCCTCTGCTCCCCACAATCAGAACACACAAGCTTGACCAAACGGTCCTTGAGACAGTAAGCACAGATACCAACAGAAGAAGAAGAAGGGTGCTTCTTACATGGAAGTTCAGAGGTAGAGTAATAGCAATCCATGTCATTGCTGTAAGCTTCCACACCTTTGTTTCTCTCCTTCATGGTTTCACTCTAAGATGGAGTTTCAAAAGTAAAGTGAAAAATGGCAAGGAGTTTTATGAAAGAAGGAACCAAATACTTGGCTTGAAGAAGCAGCCTCTTTAAAGCTATTAGTAAAAAGTTGAGAATTTTGAATTTGAATGAATAAAGAGTACTACACTAGGAGATTTTTAGAGTGAGAAGAAGCATAGAGGCGTTTCCTTTACGTTTTCTATGCAGAAAAAACAGTGATAGGAAGGAAGAGAAAAAGGGTAATGCAAGAAATGAGATAAAGCACTAGCTCCTGCAGGCATTATTGTGTAGGGAAGAGAATGAAACAGCAAAATTGAGTAAACCAGTGAACAAAAACTCTTTCATGACTCCATAACTTGTTACACTTGCATTGCATGCATATGTTTTTGATAAATAAATATGTGCATATCAAACACTAAGCCCATTCCCCACCATACCTAAGTTGACAACTTTGAAGTGCCACTTCAAAGACCCTCCTCACCAAATTTAAAAAAAGTGGCTTCAAATCATCTAGTATTGAAAACCCATCAATCTTTCATATGAACTGTCAACAACATTTTCCCAAGGATTTTCTCTCTTACCCTTGACTTTTGCATTCCATTGGTATTGAGATTTGACAATAAATCCTACCCCGCAATACCCACTTTGCATGTGTCCCCCTCTTTTCCCCTTGGATTAGTGGGTTGAGAAAGCAACCCTTCATAGTAACATGACTGTGGCACGCATATTCATTTGTCCACTCTCTTTTTTGCACCCTACCATCATTCCTTCTAGCAAAACCATAGACTCATAAACTGTGTCCTTTCCTCCTGGATCATTACCACGTGTCACACCGACACATCTACCTTGTTGGTCTCTCTCACTTCGAATAACATCACTATATATCACCCTTTGGGATTTTCTTTTCTCTACCTAAACATAAGAGATTTATTATTCAATTTTCATATATTGCAAAAAAAATTATATAAACTTATATCACATTTAAGTTTATTATGAGTACCATTTCCCATCATCATTGAAGGCATTAATGTGGTAAGTGGTGACCAATTTAAGCCATGTTATTGGTTGAGTTCATTGAGGTCACAGAGTAGGGTGATGTATATCATTGGAGCAGCAGATAAGAGCCTTGGCGTGCCGTATTAGAGTATTCATATAATTCTCCATCCTGTCTTTTCCATCTAAAAGGTTATAGGACCCTCCTCCTGACAAGTCATACACTTGGCCTTACCATGACCTAAGCCTTGCAAGTGGGTAGAAGAGGAAAGAAACACGAGTTTTGTTAATTAAAGATAGGGAATATTAATTTTATATCTCCATAATTTGTCTCGTACAATTATATGATGCAATATATAAAAAAAAATAGATGAATTCATTATTTATTTATTTTTTAATGAATTTTACCCATTTTTTTATATATTACATAGAGATAAACAATATCACTTAAAAGATAACCACGTACATTACAATACCAAAAGTAGAAAAAACTAGTTATATAAGTCTAGGCTAGGCCATATAAAGAGAATTCCACAACGATTTCAAAATATCTTTTACTAGACTTATATATATATATCAACGATATTTCATTTCGTTTCCTTTATATTTTTAATTTTTTGGGTATAATGAAATTTCTAAAATGAGATTTTCATTGATAAATATCGACACTCATAAATCATATATATAATAGTTGCTAATAAAAGGAAAAGTCAGCTCAAGTTATAGGGAATATAAATTCTTAGAATTAAGCATTACATTTCTCAGGGAGCTTTCATCAATTTTCATTGATAATTTCTTTCTCTCTATGATATATAAGATTCGTGGATAATTGTTTCCTAGAATAGAATGGATTACTGCTCTTCTTGTGACGACACTTTCATATTAAATAATTCTATCAAACTCAACTTATGTCTGACCAATCACATTTGGATAGAGGAATGAAAATGCATGTATAAAACCAATAGGGAAAGAACTCATCTCTTAAAATTTTGATTTTTATTTATTTATAAAAATAATAAGATCGCAACTTAAAGAACACATTCATTCATAATGAAAAGACACATTTATTCGAGATGATGTAAAGACACTTCTCTTTCGTATCAAACTTCTTATTCATAAATATAATTAACTCAAGATTAATTCCAACAAAAATGATAAAGGTTAAAGAAAAGTCAATGCATTTAATTGTTCCTTGAGTGGCTTCAGAAATGATCTTCGGTTTCACACTCACTAAATAGTACAATGTTATTTGCGATTTTTAACTGTGGAAGCATGGGTACGATCAAACATTGCAAATGACTACACAAGCTTATTATAAGGACCAATAGAAACTCTGCCATGAGCATGAGACAAACATAATAGCAAGGGTGGCACGCCCCAAGCATGCACAATCCTATTGAATCATTGGGACAAAGAGGCAGAATAGTATATTGCTTAAGCAATGCTGCATTGTCTCTCACTTTTCTTTTCTTTTATGTATTTTTTTTTCCCCTTCTATTTTCTATAGTTAATCTATTAAGTTTGTCGTAATTTATAAATATTAGGGTAATCATGATGTTTCCTTGGTCTTTGTTCACTAATTATTTTGTTGTTTTTGCAATCAATTAAGTTTTAAATGATTTGGGATCCTAATAAAAAACAATTACATCGAGCCATCCAACAAAAGTGAAAGGAGACCCTAAAAAGATAAAAGAGAAAAAGAAAATTGTGTATGTGCTTTCTTTTGAATGAGAAATGATTAGGTGCAATTAACCTACAAAGTTAAGGGCATGTTGGTTGTCTGACATGCACTTAATGTGGGGGCCATGTTAGAACTATGCTGTCACGAATGTTCTAATGCTCAGTTATATACATAGCTGTTCAATTATTTCTAGTAATTAGTAGAGTAGATATACAATAACAGGTAAAATACAAGTTATTCCGTGCCTTGCTATATAAATATAATTTTTTTAAGTTTCATATTTTATTTAAAGTTTTCAATTTAACAAATAATTTTGTAATACGTGTTTGAATTAATTTATTTTGATTACGGAAAAGTTTAGTTAAAATATAATACTTTATGTAAGTGGTACAAATACATTAAATTAATTGTTTCATGTTAAATGATAATTTTTTTTAAAATATGAAAAATTATATAAGCTTCCTTTTCTTAAAAAAAAATTAGTTAAATTGTAAGTTACTAACTTAAACTTCAGACTTTTAACAAATTATGTCATGAAATTTCAGCTTTTGAAATTTAACCTCTTGAAATTTATATTCCAACAATTTACAGTTTTTTCAATATTTTTGTTTACATTGCTAACACCTAACTTCATCACTTTTATTTTTATTTTTTATTTACTTCACCAGAGAAATAAAGTTGTATAAAAAGTTATTAACTTTAGAAAAGGAATATAAATTAGTAAATGTTTAAAGTTCATGTAGGTTTATTTCAAAGTATAATTAAATTAAGACGAGTAATTTGCAATTTAACCATTTTATTTTATAATTTTATTATTTACGTGTAACTTTAACTTATGTCAATAAATTAAAAATCATTTTAATTCATTTTGTTATGTTATGTGACTATTTTTATGATATGAAAAACTTATATAATTTTTTTTTTTGCAAATTTATTAAATAATGCACTTCAAACTAGATCTTAATTAAGTGTCTACAACTTTTCTTTGAAGTTTTAACTTTTTAAAAAAATTATATATACACACACTTAGATCAAGTGCTATAAATTAAGCACTTAGGTGGTGTTTGGCAAGCCTCTTTTTCCAATTTTCCTTGGCATATGGCGTGTGGATTCCAAAAAAGACATGTTTAGTTAGATGGATTGATAAATCTAGTGATCCAAAATGCATGAGTTTTGAGAAATTGTTAAGACAAAGACGCTTTGTCCACTGTTTGGAAAGCTGTTTCGTATGTGATTTTTTGAAAAACCACGGCTAAAACAAATTTTGTGTAACCAATATACCCTTGTGTAGAAGCAAATTTGACAGCTGTGCTCTTTTTTTAAATTTTAAAATCAGGGTTATTTTAGTAATTTAACATTGTTTTTCCATCTATATCTCACCTCCAACCAAACATACATACCCTAAAATTTACCTAATTTTTCCAGTAAAGTTTTTCCCCACCAAACAATTTTTTTTTACATTTTTCTACCTATTTCACTTTATCTATCTTTCCAATCATTTCTCTGTCTATTACATTTCCCTACTATTCCAAAAAAAAATTCTCAACCAAACCCCCTGGACTTTTTTTTTTTTTTTTTTACTTCTTTGGTTTTGTGCTTTACTGTAAAATCAATCCTTTGGCACTATTACAATCCCGCACTGTCGGCGATTATCAATAATTATCTTAATTAAGTTTTAACTTTGGTTTTCTTCTTAGGAGTTTGACCCGCTAGCATGTATGAATCATTTAATTATGCAAAAATCTTAAGTTTGATAATAGATGTTTAATAATATGTAGTGTTATTAATTATTTTCAAAATAATGTTTAACATAATAATTAATAAATAATAATGCCATTAATTCTTCTTAAGGCTACTTTACTAATATAGACAAATTGATCATGTATATACATTGAACATTAATAAAAAAAAATAATCAGATAAATTATTAAAGGTTAAATTACTTTATAAAGCCTTATGGTTTTACTAAATTGTTAAACAGAACTTTATAATTTAAAAACTTCAATGACACATTTAAATGTTATAGCTTTTGCTAAATTGTAGAGGTTATTTAAAAACTTTGATAAATTATAGGGATATGCAAAATTGAATAAGTTCTTGTACTTTATTTATTTGAGTTTCAAATAGATCCCTATAGTTTAACTAAAGTTAACAATCATTAATGAGTATGAATATATATATTTAAAAAATGTAGAAGTATAAGTATTCCGCTAAAACTTTTAAACTGTAAGGGCTTGTTTAAAAATTCAATAAAACTATAAAGATTTCATGATAATTTAACTATTATTAAATTTCATATAAATAATGACGCAATTGGTCAAAATGCATTCCAGGTTTATTCGTATTATTAGTCGTAAATCATCTCCGTTCAATTGGTCACATTGCATTTCAGGTTAAGGGAAATTTCTTTTGTATATCGGATGTATTCAATTGAGTACATTTTTTTTTTTTTTTTGAAAAAGAGAAAATTTTCTTACCATTTGATCCATCTTTTTCATTAAATCTGATTTTTTTTTCTTTTTTTGGACAGATTTTTTCCTTTTGTAAATAAATGTTATCTTTCTTTTAATTACTTAATTCAATAAGTCTATTGATCTGTACTAACAATTCAGACTGATCCATTAATCCGCACAATAAATGCCATGAAGAAAAAAAGCCCACAAAATTGACTTTGGTCCCATTATGATGGTCCCATATCTTTTATAAGCTAGCCTGCAACATCTACAGGTTTTCATAGAATGGGAAAAGAAATGATAAAGTCTCAGTTAGTTGCTAAAACACAAAAAAAAGTTATATATATATATATATATATATACGAGAACTGATTTTTTACCACAAAAAGAGTTTACAACTCTTACAGTCAATTTGATCATCGT